TAGAAATGAGATAAATAAGACATAACTCCTCCCTTAAGGATGTTACAGTCTAGAATACGGCTCCTCAACCCCAACACTACTGATATTTAGACAATCCTTTGTTGTGGGGAAACTTCCTGCACGTTGCAGGATGTTAACATCACCCGTGGCCTCTAGTCACTAGATGCCAATGGCACCCCCCTACCCCTGATCCAGAGTTATGACAATGAAAAGTGTCTCCAGACATTACCAGCTGTCATTTGGGGGCAAGATAACCTCCAACTGAGGACTACTGGTTGAGAAAGAGGAGATAGATATTGAAAATGCAGTGAATGACATGGGTACAATAATAGAAAAATACATAGGATAAAATGGAGGCAAAGTGTCAGGAAATGCTTTGACGAGAAAAAGGATTAGGAGTGTGATCACTGACCTTCTTTCTGACTAAGCATATTTGTTATTTCTACTGTAAAACTACCCAGGCTGGGGTGAGAGGCATTGCATGAGGTGGACCCTTCTTAGAACCCCAAATAGGACCTTCCTATTTGGCTTCTTATCCTTTCCAGCCTCCCTTGGATTGAAAGGGATAGTTTTCAAATATCCCTTTCAGTTCATTTTCCCCCTGAATGAAACTGTTCTAATGCCACATCCTCCTCTTTCCTGGAGCCCAGTAAATTTATTCACCCTTGCAGAGTATTGCAAGAATGGCCAAGAAGAAGGAAGGTTTGAACCTCCCTCTGCTTCTGCATGGCAGGAGGGTGGCTCAGAAGTCCTCGTGTGCCATGTGGAGGTTTGCAAAGGCAGAAAAATTAAGAACTGATGAGACTGCAGTGGACCACTAATGTAGCATGTGGCTAAAGTTCAGAGAGGTCTGACAAGCCTGTAAGAGCCAAGGAGGTGTCAAGACCCAAGAAAGGACCATTGTGGGTGTCCTTGCAAGGAGGAACAGAGAGCAGAGAAGAAATATGGAAGACTGGACATAAACCCAAAAGAAATCAAATGACACCCAATAAGTTACATAGGAAAAACTGGAAATAACCTAAAGGCATGTTAGAATTCCTCACTAGAATAAGAGTCATTGAGAAAGATGCTATCAGTTATAGAAAATAAATATGCTCTATATTCTTTGCCCATCAACCTTTTGGTTTGAAGACTTTCTATTCCAGAGCACAAAAACTTTGAGATTGGAAATACAAAGTTCTGCTGGAGTGCACATCAGAGTGGTTTAAACAGATCTGGCTACTCAGGGAAGACCTGGATATAAACATATAATGTTGAACAGACATTGGAGAATGAATAGGAAATACCCTGTTGAAGACGGGACAAAGGAGTGTTCCAGCTGAAGGAATGGATGTGAGAAGCCCCATATGTGAGGGAGAATCAGGTGTATTTGAGAAGAGGAATATGTACATAGTGTTTCTAAGGTGAAGAGAGACATACTAGTCAATATTTATTCAGAATATATTATATCCCAGGAACTAAGCTAAATTCTTTATGAATAGCATCTTGATTAATTTTCATCACAAACCAACAAGGTGGGAGGTTTTAGTTTCCCTACCATTTAGCTACAGTTATCAACTTCTTCATCATAATCAGATTTGCATTTTAGAAAGTGTACAGGTAAAAGGATGAGCAAATGGATTAAGAAGAACCGATTAAGAAGCTTGCTGCAGAGCACACACTAGGAGAAATTGAAGTTCCAGAGTATGTCATTAGTGTTTGGAATGGAAAAGAAGGGATGATTCATGAGTCACTTCAATTGTAAAGAAAATGAAAAAGACTGATGCAAACAACTGATTTTTAAAGTTCAAAAGAAAGAGGAATTGAATGAAGCCAAAGCTTTGACCACAGAGGACAAAGAGCAAACTACTACCACAAAGAGATGGATCAACAGGAGGTAGGTGTTCTGGCTGGGAGATGCAAGGATGTGAACAGGGGGAGCAGTGAAACAAGGAGCTAAGATATGCACTGCTGTGTCTGAGGCACCTCGTAGCTTGAAATGGGATACTAGAGCTTTGCAGTAAAAGATGTCCTAAGACATCGGTTTCGATGACTTTCACCTTGAGGTCAAAGTTGAAGTCCCAAACGTGAATATGACGGTAAGGAGAGAAGAAACAAAACGATCACTGACAGTTGTGACTTAAAAAAAGACCCTTAACACACATCTGTAAGACCACCCTGTCTTGCTTTCTGCTTAAACATTAACAACTGCAAGAGCAAAGTCAATACTTGTTTTGCTGATGTTTGCAGCTGAGGGACCAGGAAGAGTGGCCATGATCTTAGAACTGCTTCTTTTCTATGGTTTTCCCTGATAAAACCATTTCTATGCTTTATTCTCTCTCCTTACTCCTCTGAGAGCCATATGTTCATGTTATCCTACAATCATGTCCATGAACCTGTCTCTCTTACTTATTTCTCAACTGTGTCAAATCAGGTGGGAGCTTTGTGGGGGAGGCATGTAAATTTTAGTGTTGTTGGGACAAATAAAATAGTGACTCCCACTAAAGAACACTGAGTTTTACAGCTTGATATAGTTAAATGAATTCAACTTGATTTGTTGAAATGTCCCATCCCTGCTCTGTCCCAAAAAGAAGAGCTTAAATATGTAAATACTGACAGGAATACAGTAGATGTTTAAAACACTTTGCCTTTTCCTCATTATCTGTCTTTGGCTCATTCAATTCTGTTCACTTACCTTCTCCCCAGTCTGCAACTGCCAAAACCCCATCTTTCAGTATCTAGCCCCAGGAATCCCTTAGGGAAGCTGTCCCTGCTCTGTCCCAATGGGTGTCAATCACCCTGCCCCTGAGCACTTTACATCTCTCTTAAAGCATTCATTGTGTTCATGTATTTTGTGGTGTGTGTGTATGAGTGCGACTGTGATTGGAGTTAATGAAACAAACACATTGTCATATAAGTAGTAACAATTAGAAGGGTTTCATGGAAACACAAGCCATGAATCCTTTCGGCCAACCTCATCACTTCCTACTGAAAATAACACTGTCAGTAGGAAAATCCCCCCATATTTGTAAATAGCAACAATGTAATCAGCCTTCAAAGCCTTCAATTGTATTTCCTTATTGGTGATGCAGTTCTTTCCACAAGATGCAAGACATTGTCATAATTGAACCTTTGTATAATGGATTGGCAGAGCATGTAATCTAAACATCTGGATTCTTCTACACATGGCTCATTAGCTATTGCTGCAAAAGTCAATATGAACTCTATGCAGACACAATTAAATATGACTGGAAAAATACATGCTTCCATATTTTTGGTTATACATATGTATATATTTGACATACAATTCAATGTTGTCACAGGAATTTTTAAAAGAAAAGGTTTCTAGAGCCATGTCTGTTAACCATCATTGTACTACTTCCTGGAAGCAAGGGAAAAGTGAGTAGTGCTGGGCTGTCGGCCACTTCACCACATTGCCATACTGAGAGAATATATAATAATAAATAAATTCAGTCAAGTATCAGGATTTCTAGTCTGCTCTTCATGGTAAAAATATGCTTCAATTTGAAATTGTGCAGAATTGAGTAAAAAGAGTGTTTTTATCCAGCATTGCTTAACTTGCAAGAACACAAAAGAGGTGATTACAAATAATACTTTCACCCTCATTGCTGTGCTACTAAAGTGACCTGAAAAGTGTGTGGCCTCAGACTGAGTCAGAATGAGAACACAGCTCATGAACTTCACAGTACTGGGTGAGCCAGCCAGGAGTAAAATCCAATAGCAAGGGAATTGAGAGAGAAGCAAACTATTACTCTTTCACTTTCACTCTTGCAGTCCCAATTTTGCCCTTTACAAGGCCAAAGACAAAGTAGTCCATACCAGAATTGGAGTGGCCTTTCCCTTTCAAGTTTCTGTAGGCATCAGAGCCTCAGAAAAGAGATGGCACCCTCCCGTATTTCTTCTTTTATAATTGTTACAAAGGGAGAAGGTAGTTTTCTTTCCCTGTATTTGGTCATCTACCATGGAAAAATATTGTGATACATATTTTCTCTCTTACCTGAAATCTCTCACCCTCATTCCAAACTAAGTAAATACTAAACCAAAGGTGGTATGCTGTTATTAATTTAAATCACCCAAACTGTCCTACACGGAAATAGATGTACAGGTTGTCTTCAATCAGATTTCTTGAATACAGACCCTGAGATTTGCATACAAGGGGTTTATTGGCAAGTCTTCACAAGAATAATACATGTAAGGGAGTGATGGAAGTAGGATTTTGCAGAGGGAAAAGTTGAACTCTGGTGCGGTTACACCAAAACTTCAGCATGGAGAGTTCTGAGTTGAGGATGGGCCTTGAGAATTATCCCAAGCTAAGTCAAGGGGGTCAAGACTTTGGACCCCAAACTGACTAGTTATTGGATGCTGAGTTCTCCCAGCAAGGAAGCATAACCTTGAGGGAAGGAGTGTCCATCTACCAAGGGCAATTCTCAGAGAGGGACAGAGCTCAGAGCCATCAGCAGCCAACATATTCAGGCTTGGAGAATGAGGATCTTAGCTCTGAAGATGGTGATCTGGATGGCACATAATAGTGTTCACTACAGTCCACCCTAATTTAAGATGCTTGAATCTACTTAATAAGTTCTTCCCATCTAGGAACATCTTCAGGATTCTAATTGGTCTCATTTTCCAATGAAACTCACAAGAGGAAGGTTAGTAGAATGAACTACTGCAGACCTTTCCACCACAGCTGTTCTCAAGGCTCTAAGTGATACTCATCAGTGCCTGCCTTTACTACCCATTCTAGATTCTCCACACCCTCAGTTTGTACCTCTGCTGGTCTAGGTAGCTGACCTGTTGGGGTGACCCAAACTCTAATCTCTAAGGGATCTGAGTCCCTGGTCACCATGTAATTCTTGGGTCATGGCTGCTGTACTTGTACATGACACCTCATCACAGTGGACTATGTGAGTACCAAGAAACACACCAGTGGATCAGTGGTGCCAAACTGCCCCAGTGTGAAACAGCAAACTTTCTTCCACTTGATAATTGGGGTCACCTACCTTGACATATCTTCTTTCCTTGCCTTCTTGTCTGTTGATATGAGGGAGCTGAAATGACCAGGCAGCCATAATAACTTAAAGTTCAATAGGGTTTTTATTTTGTCTCCTAGTGAAACCATTCTCCTTCTGGGATCAAGGACCTCCAAACACACAGAGCCTAAAATTAAAGGAGAAGAAAGGTAAAATTTCCCTCAAGTGGGTCGTAGGAGTGGTGGCAAGCTGGGCCACTCCGTTTCTATTTCTAGACCCTCTTATTCCACCTGCTGGGAAAACAACACCATCTTATGATCACTGATTTAGGTTATTTAATACACCCTGGAGGATGGCACCTCATCCTTCCAGGTGCCAACATAAAGTTGACATAGTTGTACCAAAAAAAGTATCCCATTCCACTTTCAGGCTGAGAGCTTCTGGCTGGTACAGTATAACAAATCCAATTATACATTTGGGGAACCAGGGATATGACTGCCATATGGATATGAGGAATGAGCCCACCCACAATGAACCCGACCCAAGCTCTTCATTTATATGCCCTCTCCAACAATGGAATACAACTGTCCCTGGGTATAACCAGCAGCTCAGAGCCTATGTCCAATTATCCTTGAAATGTCTACATAGTCTTTCTCTAGTGCATATTACCCAGATAATATTCATATGCCCCTTCAGTGAAAGTTTTGTGAAATCATTACAACATAAGCATGTCATTTGCACTTTCTTTCTGATGATCATGACAACTTTAATAACTCTCCAAACAAAATCTAATACAAGGAAATACTACTTGAAATACAAGTGGCAATAATAAAATAAGTCACGTGTATCATTTATACTAAGATCAAAAGAGTTCAATTATATATCTATATATCTATGCTTAGCTCTAACTACATATCTAATACATCTATTTACTTATAAATATATATGTATATGTATTTATATAACAATTCTGAACAATAGATTTTTAATAAACAACTGGTGCTTGTGTAAATGAGATAAGAAAATATTCTCCTTACCTTGTTCATGGTAGCATCAGTATGACTACTTCCATTTCCTGGCATCCAAAACTCTTCCCCCCCGGGCAGCAGGCATGGGTCTCACGGAAGTGTAATACTCCATATACTCTTCACACAAAGTTTCTGAAGAGCTACTGGGAGGTAATAATCCATGGGTCAAATTTCTTCATGTCCTGCCCTTCATCCAGATTATATTTTCAAGGATGTCTGTGTGCTTAGCAGCCTTGGAAAATAGAGATAGATATCTCCCTCTGGAGCCAAAAGAAGGTTTGATTACAGACTTAGAAAATTAATGTAATATTTCCCTCCAGAGTAAAGGGCATGTTTGCTTCCTGTACAGGTTAGTAAAGATAATGTCTGAGACTTCCCTTGTAGTGCAGTGGTTAAGAATCCACCTGCCAATGCAGGGGACACATGTTTGATCCCTGGTCTGGGACTATCTCACATGCCTCGGAGCAACTAAGCCCCTGCACCACAACTACTGAGCATGTGTGCTGCAGCTACTGAAGCTTGCATGCCCAGAGCCCATGCTCCGCAACAAGAGAAGCCACTGCAATGAGAACCCTGCACACCGCAATGAAAAGTAGCCCCCAGTTGCCACAAATAGAGAAAACCTGCGCACAGCAACGAAGACCAAAACAGTCATAAATAAATAAATAAATAAATAAATAAAATAAGACTAGTAAAGTGTTTATGAACATGAAATGTGTGGAAATTAAGTTAAAAAAAAAAAAAGATGAGTGCCCCGAGCAAAGGGCAGGTATATTGCTTCCCATTATTAAAGATTTGAGTTCCCTAAATTCAGAGTTCATTTCCTGTAATGCAACCCACTACATGTATAGGTATCACCTGGACCTGTTTGCATCACCTGACGAGAACTGGGTCTGAAGAACCAGTACAAAAATGCTGATACTTTGGCTACTGCTATTGCTGTGAGTAATAAACTGCCCTTTATCTCTGACCCAGGGGCCTTGTATCTCGTACCAGCATCCAAAAATCTGTGGCAAGTTAATTTGTTAGTTTGCAAGTAGGATAAAAATCTCACCATCTTCACAATTCTAGACACGTCTTTATGTGATTATGCCAAGGGTTTATTCCTAACAGCAGCAAGAATGTTATAAACACCATTGTACAAAACACTGAAGACAGATAGTAACAATCATCCACATGCCTGTGTTCCATCCAGAAAAGGGAGGTACTAAGCCATGAAACTATTACCTTTCCTAAATCTTGTAACTATTTTGTGATGGAACCCAGAGCTAAATGTTGCTAGTCTGATTACTATGATGAGTTCTACCTGATGAGTGTTTCTGATCTCTGTACTTCAGAGGAAAATCTTATGGAGTTTTGCATCTGGAGCTCAGTTTTGAGACTTTTATACACCTCTCATCTTCCAACGTTTAAATTTAAAAAGGGAATCACCATTGCTTTATTCCTATAAGAATAGCAATGTCATATTCTACCATTTACACCATAATTAATTATCAAACTACTCTGACATTGGGACCAATGTTCTAACTCATCATCTTAGCCTTAGCTCCTCCAAAGCAGAGTCTGAGTGAGACAGAGGTCTGCATGCCAGGAATTTATATGCAAATGTGATCCCAATGAGCAGAAATGAAGTCCAGGAAAAGTGAACCAGGGAACAAGGGAAAGCCAGTACAAGGCTGCATCATCCAGACGGTCAACTGCTACAACTGATCCAGCTCAAACCAACAGGACTTCTGATGAGCCTTATGAAATACAGCTTAGAATTAGGAGAAAATATTGATCTCTAGACTTTTGCCCCCCAGCCCCCACTGGTTCAAGGTGATGCCATGGGCATTTTCTTCCTGAATTTCCAGGTTGCACATGTGTACAGACCAACAGGGCTCCCACGGCAACACCTAAGAATCCCCACAGTAGGAAACAAGAGATGCAAGGAGAGATGCTGTCAAGTCTATCTCATCCGCACACAGCTGGTGAAAACAGTGCTCCAAAATGATGCCTGAAATAACAGGTGGGGCTGCAAGGACTGAGAGTGGTGTCCATGAGCTGTCTAAAATGTGCCTCTTCTGTATACGTTTTCGGTTGTAAAAATGGTAGCCTCTCTATTTCTGATTAGAAACCAGCCACTTTGAGTCCTAACTATACTTTTCACCCACTAGAGAAATGCTATCACTCTGTTTCTTTGCACCAGCTATTTCTTAAATCAAAATCTCTGTAAAAATAAATTTAAAAAAAAAGAACTGTAAGGAAATAAACTGTGTTGGTTAAGTCAGTTTAAAAAAATGAATAGATAGACTTAAACAAAAAGTCTGTAAAACATAAGAGTGAAGAGGATAAATTCTGGAGTTAGACTTGTCCTGCAATAGGCAGCTCTAATGTACCCTGAGCAAGTGACTTAACCTCCCGATGCTTCTGTTTTCTCACCTGTGATAGGAAAAAAATATCTACATAAAGGGTTGTTTATAAGGATTAAATATATTAATATTTGCAAAGCGTTCTGAAAGGTGTTCAGCACGTGGTCAGAGTCCATGAAAGTTATTTATCACCTATTAAATAAAACTTCATCATTTTTGATATTTTTTAGCTTAAGTTTAAGGTTAATTACAGAATAAAAATTTCAATAAAACATATGGCTTGATTTGCTTATATTGGGGTCTAAAATGATGGATAGGGAAATTCCCTGGCGTTCCAGTGGTTAAGACTCTGCCCTTTCACTGATGAGGGTGTGGGTTCAATCCCTGGTTGGGGGATTAAGATCCCGCAAGCCACACGGCATGGCAAAAAAAAAAAAAATTAAAATTAAATGATGGATGGAGTGTATTGAATTTGGGCAATATATAGTCCCAATTTGTCCATAAATTTGTAAGAAAGGAACAGGAAGACAATACCCAAATATGAACTTATACATCTATACAATTCCCTAAAGCCAGTGAGGCTCCATTTTCTCCACAATTTCCTCTGCAGTCTCATCCCTATGCTCAGGTTTCAGGATGGTCCATGCATGTGCTGAGTTTTTGGTTCCATGATCACAACATTCTTGCTCCCTCTTCATGACTCTCACAAGTTATTCCCTTTGTCTACAACACTATTTCTTCAACTCTCTGACTAATAATACTCATCCTTCAGGGCTCAGATTCTTCTGCCACTGGGAAGCCTTCCTGGATCCCCAACTCTGAGCAAGCTTGCCTTCCTCTGTGCCCTTATGGCACCCCATATTTCCCTGTTATAGCACTTACCATCCAGCATTGTAATGACCTGTCCTCATCTGTTTCCCTCATTAGACCAAATTCCACAGTTAATGTTTCATTTTCTTCATTTAGTTCAGTGCTGGCACACGTAGACCCTTAAGGAATGTTAGTAGAATTAACAAATGAGAATGAATAAACATATAAATAAGTTCATAAAACAAGAAAAGGCGTAGAAGACACCAACTAGTTGAATTACAAACAAAAAAATGACAGATCTGAACATTCACTTGGTTTTCTCATGTCTGTTCTCCAGTCCTCAGCCTCAAGGTGGGTTGAGCTCACACATGGTGGTGCCCTCCTCCTGGACTATAATAGCAAGCTGTACATTTGCACCTACTCCTTCAGACTGATGCCTGACCATGCAGGTCTTCTACTGAGTTTCTAGCTTTGGCTGAGGCCAAGGAGAAGTCCAGCTCCATCATCTTTCCTAATAAGCAGGATTACACTGCTCCCTGTTGCCCTTTTTTTAATGTGACCCCAAATACGGTCTTCATACTGACATCCTCATCCTCTGTGAGGTGCATGAAGGATAAAGTAGAGAGAGTCCAATCCAGGGATACAAACTCGATTGGTACAGTGATTGGGACATCACTTCAGTGTCACCAAAGACAAAAGTCACCCACTGCTCTTTAACATAAAGTCATTTCCCTTAATTATCAATATTTCAGCAGTCTCTTTTCACTAGAATGTGATTATAATCCCAACTGATTCCTCATTATCAATCATTAACACAAACAAGAGGTACTATTTTTAAACTGAACCGAAGATTTTTAGGTCCTCTATCTTCTTTTTTGATACTCTGCTCCCCAGTCCTCATAGCCTTCCCTTAAAGGTTTCTCCCTTGAGAAGAATCTCTACCAGCTCCTGTGGTTCTACAACTGGCCTACAAACCTACCAAGAAGAGGGATTATAAGGCTCAAGGCAGTGATTCCCAAAGTATGATCTTTGGACCACCTGGATCATAATCACCAGGGCGGGTATCCACAACTCAATGCAATAAACAAGATTATCTTGGGGTGGATCCCTTGAATGTCATCTTAAATCCCTCAGATGATTACTATACACACTCAACATTGAGATCCACAGGCTTGACTACTTCCAGTATTTCTAAGTATTTTAAAGAAAATAACCTTCAGACTTCAAAGTAATGAATGTCTCTCTATATAGAGCTGAACTAAAGGTCACTTGCTTAACTATAGGAATCATCCTGGCTCAGGTAACCATCTATGGAGCAGATTCACACTTTAAAATCAAGTGAATTAATGACACGATATGGAATTGAGAGCACACCAACTATGGAGGTTACTGACTCTGACATCTGACATAAGTTTAAACCTGAAGCCAGAATTTATGAGCTGCTTAGAGATATGTTTTTAACTTCTACGAACTGAATGTTCTTGTGATAACAAACATAGTTGGAATTCTATAGAACCTTCAGAGATTTGCTTGCCTGTGCGGTGGATATGCATGATTACCTGAAATACTGGAGAACTTAAGAGAAATATTAATGATGCTGAAGAATTCCTTCAAAGTTGAAGAATCTGGCTGTAGGTTGCATTTGAGTAACATCCAGAATTAATAAATTGGTGAGCAATGCCCTAGGCACAATGGTACCAAATAAATATACTAGTAAAGAGATAGTATCTATTTCATGAGTAAAAAAATTTTGAAGTAATCTCAGGACATTTTTCTTCACAAACAAGCCATTATTTTCCTATAAAGACCATCTCTTTGCTAGCAAAAATCATATTTATTTCTTGATCTGGGTAATTTGCATCTATGGTGAAATTCCTCTGAGTGAACACTATATACAAGAATTGAACAGCATATTAGTTTCTATTGTATCAAACAAGGTGGTGATAATTTCCAAATGCAATCCTTTGACTGGAGGTTGGTTCTCACTTTGGGGAAAATGTTGTAAATTCTTTTTTCATGCTGAGAAAAGGCAGTCAATTCCTTCTTTCCCTATATACAGTTGTGTACTAAGATTCCAGAGAGAAAGAGAATCCCATCAAAGGGACACTTGACGTCCATCCACCTCTGATGCACCAAAAAGCTCCATCTTTAGTGAGCTGATGTGACAGTCTGCTAAGACTGAATCAGTATATGCCATCCCTCACTTCAGAAATGCCAGAAACCTCTACAGGAATGAGAGATTAAAGTACTCTTTGTAGGCACAACCATATGGACAAAGGCGTATATTATAGTCGTTAATTAAAATCTTTAGAAATAATACAGTATCAAGTATCAGATATTTCATAGACCCATACATTAATAAAAATAGACTTTTGCTCTTCCCAGAAGATGTTTAATTAAACAATAACAAGAAGAGCAAAAACCGGAATATGAGGTACATTATGTTGAAAGAAATGCTGGTCCTTGTTATTTTAGCTTAGATTCATTCTTTTTTATTCAGTAAAGATGTATTCATTGTTACCTCATGCCTAATGCCATACTAAATATCAGTAGTTCAAAGAACAATAATACAATATTGACTTTGTCCCCACATAAGTTCAACTTCAATAGGGAGAAATAAACACATTAACAAATAATTATAACACACTGTGTGTTCATTGTCACAATATAGGAACGATTTTTTACATAAATCCTTGGAGTTCTCATAAAGATACAATTTGAGTTCAGTCTTGAAAAATTAGGGAAAGTGGGGGATGAGCCTTCACACAAGGGAAGCTTCAAGTGCAAAGTCAGAACTGACTGAGCAAACACAGTTTATTCAGGTGCTGGCGGGAAGGTCCACAGCTGCAGCACAGAACAGATGAAGAACGGTGTCAGGAAACAAGGCTGGAAAGGTATTTTATAGTCCTCTTGTGAAAGACAAAGAGGCACTGAAAAAGTCACCCATGACCCTTCACAAAATAAAACTATTTTTCAACAGACTATTTTTTAAAGTAATTACTTAAACATTTCTCAATAAAAGTGGATACTATGAAACTTTCCACCAAATAGGATATATTTGTTGAAAAATAATACAACCTTATGACCACATACCCACATGAAGCTTAAAATTCCACTTACAGAATCATAAACATTGCTTTTTGAAGTCACACGCAGTTCTGATAGTTCATAATTATAAGGAAACTAAACAGAAAGAAGACAAACTAGGTCAGCAATAGGGCACTAACCATCCGATTCTATTCAGTCTGTTTTAGAATTCTGAAGACTAATTCTTCCAACATGTGAAATTAGAAGATTGGCTTCTTTCTAATCTTTGTGGAAAGAAAAATAAAAATACATTCAAATATTTGGAGCTAAAATGGTGTGTAGGAAAACATAGGCAGAACACTCTATGACATAAATCACAGCAAGATCCTTTTTGACCCACCTTTGAGAGAAATGGAAACAAAAATAAAACTAAACAAATGGGACCTAATGAAACTTAAAAACTTTTGCGCAGCAAGGAAACCATAAACAAGATGAAAAGACAACCCTCTGAATGGGAGAAAATATTTGCAAATGAAGCAACTGACAAAGGATTAATCTCCAAAATATACAAGCAGCTCATGCAGCTCAATATCAAAAGAACAAACAACCCAATCCAAAAATGGGCAGAAGACCTAAATAGACATTTCTCCAAAGAATATATACAGATTGCCAACAAACACATGAAAGGATGCTCAACATCACTAATCATTAGAGAAATGCAAATCAAAACTACTATGAAGTCTCACCTCACACCGGTCACAATGGCCATCATCAAAAAATCTACAAACAATAAATGCTGGAGAAGGTGTGCAGAAAAGGGAAACATCCTACACTGTTGGTGGGAATGTAAATTGATGCAGCCACTATGGAGAACAATATGGAGGTTCCTTAGAAAACTAAAAATAGGAATACCATACGACCCAGCATCCCACTACTGGGCCAATACCCTGAGAAAACTGCAATTCAAAAAGAGTCATGTACCACAATGTTCATTGCAGCACTAATTACAATAGCCAGGACATGGAAGCAGCCTATGTGTCCATCAACAGATGAATGGATAAAGAAGATGTGGCACATATATACAATGGAATATTACTCAGCCATAAAAGGAAATGAAATTGAGTTATTTGTAGTGAGATGGACCTAGAGACTGTCATACAGAGTGAAGTAAGTCAGAAAGAGAAAAACAAATACCATATGCTAACACATATATATGGAATCTAAAAAAATAAATGGTTCTGAAGAACCTAGGCACAGGACAGGAATAAAGACACATATGTAGAGAATGGACTTGAGGGCACGGACAGGGGGAAGGGTAAGCTGGGACGAAGTGAGAGAGTGACATGTACATATATACACTACCAAATGTAAAATAGATAGCTAGTGGGAAACAGCCGCATAGCACAGCGAGATCAGCTGAGTGCTTTGTGACCACCTATAGGAGTGGGATAGGGAGGGTGGGAGGGAGACACAACAGGGAGGGGATATGGGGATATAAGTATACGTATAGCTGATTCACTTTGTTATACAGCAGAAACTAACACAACAATGCACAGCAATTATACTCCAATAAAGATGTTAAAAAAATGATGTAATCCTCATTGCTTATAATATAACAAGGAAAAGAGTTGAGAATTTACATCAAAATGCTAAACATATTAATAAAGGTATATACAAGATATACTGGGAGTATCAAAGAAAATCTTCCAGCCTCTTTGAAGGAAAGAAAAGATTTCACATGAATAGAGAAGAGCCTGGTAAATTAATGGGGGAAGGAAATTTCAGGGCATCAGGACACTGTTTCAGAAAATACTCATAAGGCATTTTACCATTTGATACTAAAGATATGGTACATCTCTTGTTTGTCCAAATATGATAAAACCCTGTTTTTGTGTAGTTGATATTTTTATTATTATTTATCACAAGGTACAAGTGTTGTTTTTTTTTTTAATTTTGTTATTTCCTTTTACTTTTGACAGGGGGATGTTAGAGCCATGCTTACCAATTATGGTGACAAGGTACGGTGTCAATTTGCTGTATACCTCCTAGGAAGTTAAGTTCCTTCTAAAGCATGATTTGACCACCAAATTGTATTTAGCAATTTTCTGTTTCATTGCCATTCATTTTATTCTTTGTGTTTCTGGCTTTTTTTTTTCCCTGGATGCCAAGAGATACAATGATTAATACATAAAAAACTCTGTGTCTTGGTTAACAAAAGTAGAACATGACACTTGACAATACTAGGGCTTGACGGTTAACATCTGCCTGGGGATAGTCTAAAGCTATGTTGATTGAATCACAACTCAATCACATTTATATGCCAGAAATCATTTTTATAGCCTTCATAAACTTGTATTAACTACTTCAAGGCTAGAGACAGAACGAGATGATTCATTTCTACTGTTTGCCTACGGAAAATAACCATCTATGGATATCCTTTTACTTATTTTTTACAAACATCTTTATTGGAGTATAATTGCTTTACAATGGTGTGTTACTATATGCTTTATAACAAAGTGAATCAGCTATACATATATATATATATATATCCCCATATTTCCTCCCTCTTGCATCTCCCTCCCTCTGACCCTCCCTATCCCACCCCTCTAGGTGGTCACAAAGCATTGAGCTGATCTCCCTGTGCTATGCAGCTTCTTCCCACTAGCTATCTATTTTACATTTGGTAGTGTATGTATGTCCATGCCACTCTCTCACTTCGTCCCAGCTTACCTTTCCCCCTCCCGGTGTCCTCAAGACGATTCTATACATCTGCATTTTTATTCCTGTCCTGCCCCTAGGTTCTTCATGGCTTGATTTGTGACCCAAGGTATGATCTATCCTGGAGAATGTTCCATGAGCACTTGAGAAGAAAGTGTATTCTTCTGTTTTTGGATGGACTGTCCTATAAATTAAGTCCATCTTGTTTAATGTATCATTTAAAGCTTGTGTTTCCTTATTTATTTTCATTTTGGATGATCTGTCCATTGGTGAAAGCAGGGTGTTAAAGTCCTCTACTATTATTGTGTTACTGTGGATTTCCCCTTTTATGGCTGTTAAAATTTGCCTTATGTATTGAGGTGCTCCTATGTTGGGTGCATAAATATTTACAATTGTTATATCTTCTTCTTGGATTGATCCCTTTATCATTATGTAGAGTCCTTCTCTGTCACTTGTAATAGTCTTTATTTTAAAGTCTATTTTGTCTGATATGAGAATTGCTACTCCAGCTTTCTTCTGATTCCCATTTGCAGGAAATATCTTTTACCATCCCCTCACTTTCAGTCTGTATGTGTCTCTAGGTCTGAAGTGGGTCTCTTGTAGACAGCATATATATGGCTCTTGTTTTTGTATCCATTCAACCAGTCTATGTCTTTTGGTTGGAGCATTTAATCCATTTACTTTTAAGGTAATTATCAATATGCATGTTCCTATTACCATTTTCTTAATTGTTTTTGGATTGTTATTGTAGTTCTTTTCTTTCTTTTGAAAATGCTAAAGAAGTTTCTTTAGCATTTGTTGTAAAGCTGGTTTGTTGATGCTGAATTCTCTTAGCTTTTGCTTGTCTCTAAAGTTTTTAATTTCTCCCTTGAATCTGAAAGAGATCCTTGCTGGGCAGAGTAATCTTGGTTGTAGTTTTCCCCTTTCATCACTTTAAATACGTCCTGCCACTCCCTTCTGGCTTGCAGTTTCTCTGAAAGATCAGCTGTTAACCTTATGGGGATTCCCTTATGTGTTATTTGTTGATTTTCCCTTGCTGCTTTTAATATTTGTTCTTTGTATTTAATTTTTGATAGCTTGATCTATATGTGTCTTGCCGTGTTTCTCCTTGGATTTATCCTGTATGGGACTCTCTGTGCTTGCTGGACTTGATTGACTATTTCCTTTCCCATATTAGGGAAGTTTTCAACTATAATCTCTTTAAATATTTTCTCAGTCCCTTTCTTTTTCTCTTCTTCTTCTGGGACCCCTATAATTCAAATGTTGGTGCTTTTAATGTTGCCCCAGAGGTCTCTGAGACTGTCCTCAGTTCTTTCCATTCTTTTTTCTTTATTCTGCTCTGCTGTAATTATTTCCACTATTTTATCTTCCATGTCTCTTATCTGTTCTCTGCCTTAATTTTTCTGCTATTGATTCCTTCTAGAGAATTTTTAATGTCATTTATTGTGTTGTTCACCATTGTTTCTTTGCTCTTTAGTTCTCTGAGGTCCTTGTTAAACGTTTCTTGTATTTTCTCCATTCTATTTCCAAGATTTTGGATCATCTTTACTATCATTCCTCTGGTCGCCTCAAGCCAAACACCATATTTACTTGTTTTTTAAATCAACATATTTTTGAGCGTACTTGACCTGTGAGAAGGAAATATTCATTATGACCTGTAAGTATAGTTTTTCATTAGCTATAGAACATATATTATGCTAGTTCTCTGAAAGGACATTTAGACACCAAATACACAAATTAAGTACAGCTCTTGTCTGAAAATAAATAAATAAATAAATAAATAAAATTTTAATTAAAAAGGTGTGTAATTATTGGACCATTTCAGTAGATGTGAACAGTCTTCTATGTTCTGTCCCCCTTGGTATCATAGAGCACTTCAGTCCAGTATTCACACATATTTTAGAAAAAAACTAATCTTATAATAAAGCAGGTATACAGGATGTGCTCTCCCACTCCTCTGCCCATCCTCCCTTCACCCATTCCACTTTAAGGCACTATCTTACTGCAAAAGAAGATTCTATAAAAGCCTCTACCAGTTGACTGAAGAGCAATATTTATTTTTTAGAAAAGGAATCTTTATTGAAGTAAAGAACAGATGTTATTCAAGGAAAGTGAGATTTTTGAATTTCCATCTTCCAAAATATGTTTTCATTTTGACCTTTTTAAAAAGCTTTTGTGACTATGTGTTCCCAGAATGCCTACCATTTTTAATTATCTCGATCACCACAACCATATGCTGTGTTAGTCTTATGTACTAGGATGTTCAAACTTAGAACCTTGTATTCATATATGAAAAAAATAACTGCAGCACTGCATGAAAAATGAAACTATATGTTCTTGGATCATTTTTAGAAAATCTACATTAACACTATATATTTTTTCTCCCCTCTAAATGGGCAGTCATGGCCTGTATGTTAAGTGTTAAAGTTCAGCAACAG